GAAATACTAGAACGCGATTGGCAGAGGCACGGATGAACGATGAGCTTATTTTGTTATTGTTATTATTATTATTATTTAATCTCTCTTATTTTGTTCAATAAACGAACTACTACTACTGTGATCTTTTCCTCGCGTCTCGGTTACATGGGATATTGCGTGCAAGTGCCGGTGCAATCCAGTGTTTACGTGGTGTCCGTTAAGACAATTCGTTTTGGGCATACTCACTGTGGAGTTGTGCAGACAGCTCCGACCGCCTCCACTGTGGTCAGCATACGTCAGTGAACCCGTTTTAATAGTCTGTCACGAATCCAAAACCGGAGGAGAAATAGCTGGGTCACATTTGCAGTGTACTTTATTTTCGATACGAGTGATTACGCTATTTGAGTAGGGAACCAAATCGTTCTATATGGTATTTAACTATGATGTGATTGATTTTCAGAGAATCAATAGAACAAATCCTTGATCAATTTTAAACAGCAGTTTGTCGGAACAGGTAATGATACATGAGTCCATTGTTTACAGTGCGTGCCAAAATTATAAGGACGGTCAAAATGACAACATCAGCTTCAATAATCAGAACACGTAAGCGGTTCCTAGCTCGTCAGAAGAAGCGTCAACACTGGCTAACTAATTTCATATAAACATATGTTTCACAAATATATTTTAAAGGGGATAGTTCATAACCAAATCAACACCGGGAGCGTCAGGTGAACAATGTGTCCATTGTGCTGCAAATCCTGAGTACACATTACCTTCACAGTGATGAATGACTTGCTGCAAAATACGGTACTACAGGTTAGGTTTTCGGGTGATTTGTACTGCAGAAAGACAACTAAACGTTTTGAGACACTGGCTTGGCCAAAATCCCCAGAAGATCTCATTGGTGTTCAAAGAAAACCTGCTAGCGGGAAATTTCGAAGTGTAGATAATTAGTGCATCTTTTCGAACTGTAATTAATTGATTACCAATAACAACAATTTCGTCATGTATATGGCAAACGAAGCATAAACTGCAAGCTAGAAAGAACTGGACAGCTGGCTCGACCTGGTAGGGTCTCGTTAACAGTGTAAATCCATCGACCCAACTGGGGATCAAACCCGGGATGGATTTACACTGCTGATGAGACCCACTCAGGTCGAAAAAGCTGTACAGTGCTTCCTAGCTTTTCAGTTCACGCTTTATTTGCCACATACATGACGAATTCACCTTTGAAAATGTGGTCAAATCCTCCAATATTCACATTAAATAATAATATTAATTAATTAATTAAGCGATTTTTGATTGTCGCAGTGAAAATTGGGATTGTGCTGAAAGGTACAGATAAACGATCAAGTGTATTTGTTTAGGTGTCTGTAGTCCGGTCAACTCCATTCAGCTGTGAAGAACAAGGGCAGACAATAATCCATCGACTTTCTTAATGTTTCTTAACAAACGCTATCTATTCTTTCCTTTTCATCTTAATGTAGGAGA